AATTAATCCAAACATTGATCTGAAATTGAACATTTTTCTCTAAGAAAGTATTCTTTACAATTGTACATTCATTAAAAAAGTGAAAAAAAATTGTTATCCCTCTTTGTGAAATTGTTAATGGTATAATAAACTGAAATTATCGTTTAGCTTCCTGATTGAGAAGCTTCATATTGTTGTAATCTGATGATTGCCCAATTAAGAGCAGCTTGAAGCAATTTTCGACCGAGCGTCCAGTGTAATTCACGATTGCTTCGGTTTCGCGATATTTCGCTCTGCATCGGGTCCAGAAAACACGCACCACTGTCTGAGGCAATCAGATTCAAAACTAAAGCCGATGGCGACTTGGTCGCTCGCTTCTTCCCGGCATGCAATCGAAGAGCGCTCTACACTGTTGAAAAAATGTATATTTGAGAGAATACAACAACAGCTTAACAATAATGTAGATTGTTTGTAACAGAATTTACTAACATGGCGTGATAAGTACTCAGCGATAGATAAAAATTAAGATAAAAATGTTTTCTTTGATACAAAACTACTAATAAGATGCGAAGTTTTCCTTCTTGTTTAGCAAAATGCTTTGCAAAGGAATCAAGTCCTACTGTAAAAACATTGACTTTTGTAGTGTGCATCTAAATATTTTACGATAACAAATACAATCGTTTCACTTAAAACAACATTAAAAAAATAGAAAAAATTGTATTTTTTGTAAATAGTCTCTATACTGAGTCTCTGAGGAACTCTTCATGGTTTTTCGGTGTTTTTTCAATGCCAATTTCAAACTCTTAAGTTGGGCGCGATTTTTAGTAGGTACAATACAACAACTCATAATTTCTCAACCACGCTCATGTTTCGCGGGTTCGTCTAAAATCCTCTCAGAGTTTTCAGTTCATTAATAATTAAATAATGCCTCGAGGTTTTTTGTCTCTACATACGCCACGAAAAAAAATAAAAATTGCTTGCGACGTAAATGAATTCTAAAAAGTTTAACGTGAAATCTAGATTGGGGTAATTAAACACGAACTGCATGCTCCGCGCTCTGAAGGTGATTTGCCTCCCTCAGGGGTAGACACCGCATGTTTGAGCCTCTTCCTCCGGGGAAGACTACTTCTGTTGGTTGCGGTTGCTGGCCAGTATGTACAGATTGCACGGTGCATTAGGGTTGTCGGAGGGTTTGCTCTCAACCACTGCAATGCTGTTTGGGAAATAAAATAACGAAATTAATCCTGTTTGACACAACTTGTACATTCAAAACCACACTTTGTCTTCCTTATTCTGTTGTCTTTTTCCTCTGTTTGCCAAAAGCTAACCCATAAACCTGTAAATGAGATTGCCTGAATGACTTTCTGCTGTCTAAGTGTATAAGTGACTGACTGAGGGACCCACGGACGAACAGACGAACTCACTTGTCATCTAATTCTCTGTCTGCCTCTCTGGCTGTCTGTCGGTCTGTCTGTCCGGCTGACTGGCTGTATATCTATCTGTCTGTCTGTCTATCTATCAGTCTCTCTATCGGTCTGTCTTTCTGTCTGTCCGTTTCTTTACCTGTCTAACGGTCTTTCTGTCTGTCTGTCTATCTATCTATCGGTCTGTCTATCTGTTTGTCTATTGGTCTGTCTCTCTACCTGTCTAACGGCCTTTCTGTCTGTCTGCCTGTCTGCTGGTTAGTCTGTCGGTCTGTCTGTCTTTCTGTCTGTCTTTCTGTCTGTCTGTCTGCCGGTTTGTCCGTCGGTCTGTCTGTCTGTCTTTGTTTCGGTCTATTTATCTAGCTTCAGGTATGTCGACGCTCTGAGAGGGTTGTTAACACGAGCGAGATCAGACAGTGCACGGATCGAACTGGCCGTAAGTAATGCATTCCTACCTCTCGCATCCCAGCAGTCTAAACGTGCGTCGGGGATCGTTCATCTCGACATTAACCTTGAAGAAAAGGTAAACATGGTGAACAATAACCAAACGATCAAACAAACAAGCAAGCAGTACTCTCTAAACACAACAGATCAATAACACTTGTGTCACTTTCAGTCAATTTTACAGTTCTGTGCTCTGTTGCCTGAATTTAGAACAGAGAGGAAACTAGTTCGCATGACAGCGAGGTTGGTATCATGACGAGGTGAACCGCAGCCTCGCTCCTGTTCAAAGGCTTAGCAACTAAGAACAAGACCCTAAAACGGACTGTTCCATTCCAAAAAGTTTCCCATGAAAAGCGTGTCGTCGACAATGGTTTCCATTGCTAACATGGACTTAATAACGTCCAATCCTTTTACCTTTCCACTGTGAAGACTTCTTCCCTGCAACCCATGCTCATGAAACGCTAGAACGCTACCTTGTAAACAGACTGAAAAATAACAACAACGACAACAGTGATTTACCTTAAACGTTTGCTCAATTACGATTTGATTGCACGTGTCTTCCCGCTCTTTATATTGGATACGTGCCTTTGCTTTCAGTTCTTATTGGTCCGTTGTGTTTTCTACGTTTGATCTGATTGGCCATTGCAATTGGCGCGGTGCCAAACACCAGGGCCCAGTTGTTCTTAGGCTGATTGGCACTAATCCAAGGTTAAATGTTAATCCGGGGTTCTTTAATTCTTTGTTCAAAAGCCCTTTTTGGATAATTTTCTCTGTTCTTATCGGAGCATCCGATCACCATATTGTAGACAACTTTCATTTTAAGCCTTCAGAATTAAAACCAGATTTCACACTAACCCTGGGTTATCTTAATCCAGCTTAGAACAACCAGGCTCAGGCCACCATGTCTAACAACATCGGACACAAAAAGAAACGCGGCTATCTTCTTCACAATAACCTTTCAACGTTTAACGTGGAAACTTGGACTTTCATCTGCTTTTTTTTTTTTAATTATTATTATCACATTAACGAACAGATTCCATGCTGCCACGCGTCTGTTCAGTGATAGATTACAGATGACGTCAAAATTTGGTAAGAACAAAAAAGTGTCACAGAAGGCAAAGTTAAGTGTGTCTCCGATATGTGTCACAGACCTACAGCAACATGAATCTAGTTATTTTTTTTTTCTGATGAAAAAGCAAAATCTCTATGCGTCTGACTTCCAATGGATCAAACGAAAGAACCAATCAAACTGCGTGTATGATTCAGCTTATCATAAAATTGAAAATACTTACCCACAGATTCTGGCTTGATATCAAAATGTATTTCTGACAATTGTCTTCTGAAATGTTTCGTTTTGCCTTCCAGATTGACAAACTTGACTATTTCTGTTCCCACAAGTTAAACGGAAGATAAAATTTCAGCTGACATCTAATAGGCCTAGCACTCAAAACTGGAACGACGACAAAGTACGTCGCGAATATTCGGTACTGACATTTTCAGAATCTAATTTTGGTAATTTTTGACAGATCGCTGGTCCCATTTACACAGCTAGGTAGAGAGCTAAGAAATGCCTTGCTCAGGCAAGACAAGGCTGCAATAAGGAAATCAGTCCTCGCTTCTAGAGGGTTAACTTTTCAATCATGTGCCAATAAATCAAGTGCAAAGCGGACCACTCTAACGAAAGCTGCAGCAATTTCATGAGGCGCTATTAATTACGTGATACAAGGTGGCTCTCAATATTAAATCTGAAATCTGAGGAGAAAACCCTTGTGTGCCACCATTCAAATGAGAGCTTCTGTGTAACACTTTCGTGTGGTATTGTTCATTATCCTGTACAAGGTTGGTCTTATTTCTAGGATTGCGGATGAAAAGTAAGAGTGTAACCATTCAACAATACCACAATGCTGTTCTTTCATCTCTCGCTGTTTATTATCATCACTTTGCCGAGCATTGTGGCGCATTTCGCGGGCCAATTTGCTCGCATGCCCGCGTGATTGATCCGACTGGTTTGTTGTCATTTTTTTTTTTTCAGTTTCTTGTATTTTCTCAACGCCCTCCAAAGTGATAATAATATTAATGCAGTTTACGTTCTAAGGCATAAATATGTTTTGGGCCATTCTCAGAGCAACGTTACACAAGAACCACGCTGTACGGTATAATAAATAATAAAACGACTCTGAGTCGGGCCAAAAACATATCTATGCCCGCAAACATTAACTCTATCGTTTTGTTATGCTATACAAGGTGGTGCTAACTTGTGAGTCTGTGCGTGAGTGAAACCCTAGAGTGTAACCATTTATATGAAAGCTAGTGAGCAGTACTTTATTGTGGTACTGTTTGTTTTCCAAGTTTTACGCAAAAGTAATTCATACAATCATTGTTACAAAGCTGAAAGGATACTGTTGAATGAAACAAGAACTGTATCTTTTTCCAAATGGTCCACACTATCCACTTCAATTTTTTTCCCTAAAATATTATACAAAATAGACGGTAAAACAAACAGTCAAAACAGTATATGCATTTTAGCAGAGATAACAACAATAATTGTAACAATAATAATGGTAATAGCAATTTGTAATGAAATAAATGGCTTCGTAGCTCAGTTGGTAGAAACGCCCAACTAGTATCTGGACATTTTCAGCCTTCTTTTCTGCAATTGCTAAAATCTTAGTCCAACTTTGAGGACCATTTCTTTGCTTGATAATGGTTACTGTAACAATAACAGTAATAATTTTTTTAAGAAAAACAGACAAGTTTTCCTTACCTTCAGGTAGTTCTGTGAACCAGTTTGATAAGGAATTCAAATTCACGCATTCAAAATGAAGGCTACCATCGGCCCTACCGAGAGAACAGGATAAAAAAAGTATCATTAACCCTTTCCACCCTAATATCAATATGCAAATTCTCCATACTGTTCTATTTACATTTCCTAAGGTGCTGACAAGGAGAATTTGTTAAACAATCAAGAGCTTCTTTGGCTGGTAATCATTTCTTTATTCTTATAACCTTAATGTGCGATCCAGGGGCGATATTGTAAGGAGAAATTAGATGCTAGTCACCCTTAGGGGTTAAACAGAAAAATATCTCAGAAAAACAAGTTACCTCTTTCATAAATCAGCTTGATCGCACAGGTTTCACTGTATCATAGAGGAGCTCGCAGAGCATAGCCCCATAATTATACAAAATGGTAGTAGTAACCCATCAAGCCGAAAAAATTTGGACTTACGACCGTACGACCGTACAAGATGCTACTTTTAACATGCGTGATCAACTGTACCGCGGGCACGCCAACGCCACGGCTTTGTCCAGTAGTCCAGTGGTCAGTGCACTGGGCTCCGAGTCGGACGACCCGGGTTCTAGTCCTGGTCGGGGCAAGGCGTTGTGCCCTTGAGACGTGCGGAAAAAAAATGCGAGCTCCGCTTCTAGGTTTGGCTAAATCTATATATTACTTTACTTACAATTCTCTCACTCCAACACATATCATGGGGTATTCCAGGTCTTGTTTCACAAGCGGTTCAAACAGTGGCGGGGGTGACGGAATATCCACATCATAGTACTGCCAACAGAAAAGAAAACATGAAGTAAGCACTGAGGAGAAGCTACACTTCACTGTTGCTCTCGGATTTAGTTAGCCTGCGAGCAGGCAATCATTACATGCGCTGCAGGACGCGTGTTCCTCCGCTCGCAGGAAGATTTGAGACGAGTCGGGGAGAGGTTTGCTGGGGGTCCGGTTGTTTAGTACCAGACCCCTTACAGACCTCTCGCCGGCTCGCGAAGAAGAGCTAATAAAAAGGACCTGCTCGCAATCTAGATTTAAGTTAACATTGATTCTCTAGAAACTCAATCCTCACACTCGATTCTCTCAAACATCGAGCAACGATGTTGGATTCGAATTTCAAGACATTCGGGCTCGTTTAAAAATCATCGAGGTCCACCGAATGATTACCTGCACTTTCATGAACCTTCCCCACGGCTCATACCACTGGTAGAGAAAGACACTCTTCTGCACCGCTACACAGAGGTACACCTGACTGTTGTACGGGTTATTTACTGTAAAAATAAAAATAATAAAAACAACAAAAACAGAAAAGATTAAGTTGAATTGTAAGGGAGCTATAAGCTTGAAAAAAATGGAATGTCATTGTGGGTCTGTTTAACAAATAGTGTCTACGTTTCCGTGCGTCTGATCAGAATTAAAATTAAACCCCAGACGACCACAGAATGTGGTAAGACCAAAAGGGTGCCGCACGAGGTGCAGCCGAGTTTGCCCTTGCTTTTCTGACCACCTTCTGACGTCTTCTGTGATCTGTTACTATAAAAACAAACGGCAACATAGAAGCTATTTGTTTTATTAAAAAAAAGCCAACTGTTTTTCATGGTGGCGTCATCTCTGTGTCTGTCCTCCTGTAGATCATAAGTAAGGTCACCGTGGTTATGTGAAAACGATCGATAATTGATCGATAAAGTCGCACGAATCTAATACGTCACAACCGTGTTTGAATACTATTACATTACACACCATCGACCAATGAGAGCGCACGCAGAATCACTTGTTTTTTGATAAAGTTATTAATTATCCAGTTGTGTAAGTGTACGTTATTTTCCGTTCCATTCGCCTAGCGCGACGAGTACCTATGGATGTAAAATTTAACACGAGAATAGCTTACCAATACAGCACTTGGAACAACCTCTTGTTTCGGAAATTCTGTTATTCCTTTAGGAGAGAGAATTAAAGAAATAAAAAATGAAAATAGTGTACCCAATGAAGAGCTCTACAACTAGCTAGTAACTTCAGATACGGTAAGACAGTTTCAATTTAATATTCACAAAACGTGAAAACTGAAATTGCGGGCTTTTATTGTATAAAAATTGATTTTGAATACGAGGTTTTTTGCACAGTACTGGCCTGAAAACGGGTATAGATTTTGATAGTGATGGCCTTAAATCGGACACGATTTTAACCCTATACACCCTAAAATCAATATGCATATTCTCCATACTGTTCTCGAGACACTTCGTAAGGTTCTGACAAGGAGAACTTGTTCAACGATCAAGGGCTGCTTTAGTTGGTGATCATTTCCTTTATTCTCATGACCTAAATGTTTGATACAAGGATGATATTGTAGGAAGAAATTTGATACCAGGCACTCTTGGGCGTCAAAGAGTCAATAGATTCTCAAAACAGGTGTAACTAAAAGAGACAAGCCCTGAAAACGGATATAGATTTTAGAGACCAGATCCGGTTGTTTAAAGAGTGGATGACGCAATCCACGGGGTAATTCTC